TAAGATCCAACCAGATGGGAGCCCTCGGCAGGGGAGACCAAACGGCCGAGGGATTGGGGGAAAGGGAAAGAAACCGGCGGACGATGCGGGCGGTATCGAGGAGCACCGCCTTCTGCATTTGAGCCCGGAGCGGTCCGTCACGGAGTCCCAGTCGCCTCAGATGACCCGAGAGGCTGACTGGGATTAGCCCATTCGCAGAGACGACTACAGGGATAATTTCGGTCGGCAGACCACCCCACATGTCGGTCACCTCGTGAGCCAGGTCCAGATATTTTGTTCGTTTCTCTGTTTCGGGTTTCACGAGGTTCTCGTCATACGGAATGGTAATGTCGATCAAAAATATCCTTGACTGTGCCCGGTCCATCAGCACAATATCAGGCTTATTCGCAAGAATAGTCCTGTCTGTGATGATGGCCCGGTCCCAGTAGAGCTTGGCGCGGTCATTTTCGAGCACGGCTTCCGGCAAGTACTTGTAATACGGCAATTTTCGGTCCACGAGACCGTATTTCAGAGCGAGCTCCTGGTGTAGAATTCTGGCTACTAGGTTGTGCCTGTGCAAGTACTCAGAGTTCGAAAGCACCGAACAACCGGAGACGACATGCCTAAGTGACTCCCCGGGATGGCGACAAGCTCGACAGACGTCGACAGTGCCATCCTTTAGGATGTATCTCCGATAGTTGTTGGTCTTAATAACCTGATCCTGTATTGCACAGACAAAACCCTCGGTTTCCCCGAAGAGGTCACCGAAACGTAGCTAGTTGAGGGAGGCGGCTGTATCTACGTGAGGCTCATGTAGAGCCCTGTAGTACCTCCCGTGGAGCTCCTTCTCCTTCCATACGGTCTCCCGGTCGGAAATGCTCTGTACTGCCGGGTCTTGCCATTGCTCGTTGGCTAAGGATAGAGGGGTAAATCCTTTATCACTAGAAATGACGTCATTATAGAATGGATCATCCGATCTCGCCAGGAAGTAATGACGGAGGCTGCACACTTCGCGATTATGCATGGTGAGCGCGCTCAGAAAGCCACGCCCACCATGCTTTCGCGGCAAGTACAGCCTCATTACCGACGATCTCGGATGATGCATCCTATGGGACGTCATTGTAGTGCGGACTTTTCTATCCAGGGCGTTAAGTTCAGTCTGACTCCACCTGAGTATGCCAAAGGTATACATGAGGACAGGCATGACCCAACCGTTATACGCAAGTGTCTTATTCACACCGGATAAAAGGCTATTAAGCACTTTGGTCAAGCGTGCATAAATCACGTCGCAAACTGACTGTTTCATACCAGCCTCATCGATACCGATGTTCTGTGACATACCTAGGTATCGGTATGTTTCAGCCTCGGAAAGGGCCCTTAAGTTGACGGGCATAGATAAGTCTATGCCCTCAGAGTTAGCAACCGGGAAGGGGTCTTTCAACATGGAGGACCGCACACTTATCCGTCCCCAGCTCCATTTTAATAGCATTGCTAAATTCACAAGTGATGTTTAGCAATTCCATAAGATGGGAGCGACTGGAGGTGAATAACTTGAGGTCATCCATATAGAAAAGGTGGGTTACTTTTGCACCTCCTTTCCGAAGCTGAAATCCCCTCCCGGAGCCCTCCAGTAAAGTACTGAGAGGGTACAAAGAGAGGCAGAACCAGACTGAACTCAGACAGTCGCCCTGGAATATACCCCTTCTTATCCTTATGCGGCTTTCCGCAGCCGTCATCCGCTCGCCTAGATGACAGAGGATCGTACTCCACTGCCCCATACACTGCTCGAGGAAGTCTCGAACTGTACAGTCAATCTTGTACAGCTCGAGGATCCTCTTTAGCCATGTATGGGGCACCGAGTCAAATGCCTTTCTGTAATCTATCCAGGCGGCGGAGAAGTTCCGACGGTTGCGTTTCACCACTTTGCCAATGACCGCGTCAATGAGGAGTGGTTCCTTGGTTCCACGACCGCCACCCCGACATCCATTTTGAGCGTGCGACATCACCTGATTAGAGTCCAGGTGACGAGTGATTCTCGCGCTCAAAATGGATGTTAGTGTCTTCTATATGGTCGGTAGACACGTGATGGGGCGGTATTTGCTCGGGTCTGTGGCATCCTGATCTTTAGGATCCAAATGAGTGATCCCAGTAGTGAAGAGGCTTGGGAGCGACTTCTGGTTGAGAGCCTCTTGAAACTGTCGGGCGAGCACAGCGTGACACACCATGAACCCCTTCAGCCAGTAGTGATGCAGCCCGTCAAGCCCCGGACTTTTCCAGTTCGGGGCCCTACGGATCGCCTCAGCTACGTCATCCGGCGTTATGATGACGGGGTCCATGGGCGTAATACCCGCACACTGCCTCGCCACAACTTCCGTCCAAGGGCCCTCGTTGTGGTTTAAGGGCTCTGACCACAGGCTGCGCCAGAATGCGACCGTGTCGGCCTGATTTGGTGCTGGGCTCGTTCAACTTACTATTGGTCGCTCCAATGATTTATAGAGCCTCTTCTGATCACTCTGGAAGAGACGGTTCTGGTTAAACCGTGTCGACCTCTCGGTATATCGCCGAATCCGCTTTCCGCAAGCAGCGATTCTTTGCTTCAGGTCGTCTATGCGCTCCGTCAGTTTTTGCATTATATCCGGCTGGGACAAACTAGCGAGCTACTTTCCATGGAAGGTCATTGTTTACCCTTTCAACAAGTACACAACGGTGAGCTTGCCCAGCGTTTCGAGGAAGACTAACCGGAACAATCGTTTCCGATCTCGGCGGAAGAACAGTCTTCTTAATGCTGTACACGTTCCCTGGTAACGCACCTTCCATAAAAAGTTCCTCCTGTCCACATTTCTAAACACCTTGCTTAACGTCGATCTCACAACAATTATTCCTCATAAAGTCTAGGCCTAGGATGCATTCGTCCATTATATCAGCCACGATGACATTATGCAGGTAGATCACGTTGCCTAGCTTCAACTCCATCTCCTTCTCTCCACGGACGGGTATACGCTGACCGGTAGCTGTTACCAAATTAATGCGTTCTCGGTTGTATGCGGAGTCCCCAAGGAACTGACTTATAAGTTGGGAACTAACAACCGTACGAGAGGCTCCAGTGTCTATGGTCAGTTTACACGGCATTCCGTTGACCTCGCCCTTGATGATTAGACTGTTCCCATCATGGGTTTGTGAGATCGAGATCCTTGGGGCTCTTTTAACATCAGCCAGCACCCGCCCCACAGTTCTGGCTTATACTCGTTTCCCTGCTGCTGCTGGGCGGTGCTGTTGGCCGCACTACCCTCCTGGGATCGTTCACCTTCCCTTTCTAGGGTTCGCTTAGGGCAGCTGGATCGAAGATAGATGAGGCCCTTTTCCCCACAGCCATAGCACCTTGGGCTGTATCCTTTGTTGCGGTCGCGAACTGTAGCTGCTGCAACCTCCCTGACGCGATGGGAACGATGATCCTGCTGCACGGCTTCCACTTCCAGTGCATGGGCCAAGGCGTCCTTAAGCGTCTCGTGGTGCCCGAGCCTCACAGCAGCTCTGACTTCCAGGTCGCGGATGCCGTCGATGAATGTCTGCACCAGGTTCCCTTCAATGAGCGCAGGTACAGACCGGTATGCTTTTCGCACCAGCTTCTCCACTTCTAGAGCCCACTGCTGCAGGTTTTCGTTGATGCGCTGCACACGATCTTTAAGCTGCGCACGAAAGACGTGTTCCAGGTGAGCGTCGCCATATCTCGCCTCCAATGCCTCAAGGAGTTGCTCATAAGTCACTTCCTCACCGAGAGCTTCCAGAACTGTTAAGGCCTGGTCGCGCAGGCCTAGTGTGAGAGCAGTCATGGCCTGACTTTTATTCCAGCCGTTCGCCTTCATAACATCCTCGAACTGGATTTTGTAGGCTGACCAGGAAGAAGTCCCGTCAAACGGTGGCACCTTGAACCCACGTAGCGAAGGTGCTGAAGCTACTACGGGAGCTGTGGTTACATCCCCAAGTTTGAGTTCATCCAGTGTTTTCTTAACTTGGTTGATTTGGGTCTCAGCTTCCGACAGGCGGTTATCATGTTGAGCAACCTTATCCTTCACCTCCCTTATCTCTTTCCCGAAGGTAGCGTGAAGGTCCTTCATGAGAAGCATCTGTTCTTCCTGGCCGCCCCGCAGCTGCTCTTCCAACCGACGGACCTCGTGTCGGCGAGCCTGTTCCTCCTGTCGGCGAGCCTGTTCCTCCTGTCGGCGAGCCTGTTCCTTCTGCTGCTCTTTCAACAGACGGGCCTGTTCCTCTCGTCCGCGCTGCAGCTGCTCCTGTAGCATCGCCATCAGAGCACCTAAGTCAGGTGCTGCAGGTGTAGGAGCTACTGACGGGCCCGCAGCCTCCGTGGCTGGCAGTTGGCCCTCCGACGTCTGCGGCGTTGCACCACCAAATCTCCTCTGGTCCGTCTCATGCTGGCGTTGACTGCGGGTACGGACACCCTCAGTTTCCTCCTTAGGTAAAATCGGCATTATTTTATCCCACTTCTGACACCAATTGTTACGAGCTTAGGGTTCGTGACAATTAAAATTGCCGATAAAATTACCTAAATTAACACTTTAATTTACTTTACACAAATTAAAACTAAAAACACTAATAATTAAACACACTAATTCACTTAATTCCGCTCCGAAGCTTCGCTTGTGTCGCCGAGTTCAAGTCTACTTCGATCGCATCTTGCAGCGCCTACTTATATAAATTAGCAAAATATCCAGAATGTTCAAGTAAACACGCGCAAGGTACCGAGAGTTCGAGTTTTAAACTTCAAGAAGTTTAGTTCTTCGGTTCGAGACTAGATGGCGCTAGTGCGCCGATTTGAGGCATTGGAGCGCGTAACACTAACATTTGTCCCAGCAAACGCCATCCTGACGGTGCGCACAATATTTGGCGTGGTATTGCCTGACCTGAAGCATATCAGTCTGCCGATGAGGGCCCTAGCCTTTGCGATACGTTCTTCAATTCTTATTCTCCAGGCTGGGATAGCACTACTTTGTCCAGTAGCGCGTCTAGCTGTGGAAAGTTTGGCGCCTATAATACGGCAGACTGCCAGTGCGGCGCCAAAAAGAATTGAGTCCGTCTCGCAAATGTCCTGGCTGGCTTCCAAATAGGTAACCAGCATTGGGTTCAGAGCCCTCACGACAGCCCGATTCCGCTTGCTTAGGGCTAAGCGGGGGAAGTCGCGGTCGATTTTCGAGAGGCGTACTGCGCGTTTCCACAATCGCCTCTTCCAATGTACTCCTCATTTGCTCTAGTTCCAGTTCCTGGGCGACTGTTCCATCATCGTCTGAATAAACCACAACTGGCGTGTTCACGGCGGCATCTACATTTGCCGTTTGCTCAGCAAGTTGTGGCGCCGCATCCTCAGCCGCAGCATTTTCACCCGATGAAGGAACAGCCTCACGTCGTAGCCGTTCGAGTTCGGTAACATCAAATGTATTTGAGCGCAAGAAATACCGAACTCGGTCTGCCAGGTTTTGCTCGGTGACGGTTACAGATGGCTCCAGCTCAGCAAAAAGTCGATGCATCCTTGCCCGATATGCAAAACCTCCAGTTTCTCCCCCTTTCGCCCTAAAATACGCCCGCAATGCGTTGCTGTTCATCTGGGTTGTCCAACGCATGCGGCGTACTCCACCAGAGGCGGGTGCCGATTGCTGGGCCCGCGAAGACCCTGCCGACACCAAGCCAGCTGGTGGGGATGATGGATGCGAGGGGCTGCTGGCTGGTCATGCAGCATCTCGCGCTCGGCTGGCGGTTCGCATGCTGTCGCGTGCGTGTGTTTAATTCCATCATCCATTTTTAGGGCGTCATTTAGCGGGAGACGCCCAATAGGTTTGGTTCTAATGCGTGGTAAACGCATTAGAACCAAACCTATTGCTTCGTCCTTGTTCGTCATGAACAGGTTCCAAGCTAATAGTGAATAGGCTTTTGTTTTGTTTAGTCGGTGCATTTTATCATATGTGGCTGTTCGTAGGAAGGGTGTCAATATAAAAGAAGACTTGTTACTCTTGTTATGCCTTTTATTATGCTTCCCATTATTGAACACTTAACACAAATATACAATTTTGTGGTGACTACACTACAACCTCTTACAATCAGGTAAAACAGTAGTCTAGACTTATAATAATTAAAAATAACACACGCTCCATCAAAAAATAATAATATATATTCACATACGTGAAGATAAAGATTTAGTGTACCTATTTGTATTTATTTATCGTTTGTGTTTTGGCCAAACACATCTCTCTAATTTGACTATACTTCTCTAAATATTCCTTAATTTTGGGTAAAATGGATTTAGCAGTGAAATGACTGTAAGTTACATCAAAGTGATTCCAAAGTGGATCAACAACGTAATAATCCTCGAGTACATTGGGCAAGTGATTGGTCAACCAATCTGTGTCTGCTGGTGAAGTCAGAAAATCATTTCTTCCATGAATAACGACAACAGGTACTGTTACAGCGCTGAGGTTGAAAGGGGGTGGCTCAGCGGTGCCATACATTTGCAAATTCTTGGACGGTCCATAGTCAAATTTCTGAAACACATCAACGTTCATAGCTTGACCGTACCACGCCATATTCTTTACCGATGTTCCAGCAGGAAAATGACCCATGAGCACACGTATTGTTTCGGTCTCTACAGAGCCTGGGTGGAAGGAGTCAATGATGCTCAGGAAATTTCTACAAACAGTATCTGCAATTATGTAATTCTTGCATAGGAATGCAGCAACCTTTTGTACAATACCACCTAGGGGAAGAGCTTCATAGATTCCAATTTTATATAAATAAGTTAAATTGATCTGATAGGCGTATGTAAAGTGTCTTAATAGCTGTGATCTTGTGTAAATTTGTCTTGAGCCAGGTTGTAAAAGAATACCCACTCCAATTTTGTCGTGGTATTCCGTTCTCTCAGAATTCATTATAAGGAAGGTGCTTCCACCTTGCGAATATCCAACGTAATTGATCTTTTCCGACATAGTGTAATTTAGCACATAATCGATTGAAGCTGGTATATCATAGTAAGCGAATTCTATAGTAGAGAAATCCCAGTATTCGTGATCTTTTTCCGGATCGAGTTTAATGTGCTTCTTTGAGTAGTAATTTCCTCTTATATTGGGAACCCATAAATCATAACACAAGTCAGATATGAGGTATGCTAATCCAGCCTTAGGGCCTGCATCCATCCAACTATCAGAGCTCATGAGTAAGCCGTGCATGAGTAACACAGGTGGGTCTCTTATTGGTCCATGACAATTTTTTCCTCTGGTTATTCTAAACATTGTCAGAATGTAACCGTCATCTGTGGTTAAAGTGTGCTGTTCAGATGCGTACCCATATTTAGTAGCTAGCTCGGTAAAGTTAAGAAGAGAGTTTAAAGGATATCCTTGTTGCAATTTCAGTTCTCTTGATGTTTTTGCTTTTTTGTTTTTGAATAGTTTTTGGAGCAAGATTAATAATAAAAGTATGTATAAATATTCCTTCGAAAACATTTTCACAATGATCCATGTGAACTGTGTGTGGTATTTAAATGTGGGCTTCCATCTATTTGTTTTATTGTGTACTCTGCAAATAATTTTATATAATGATTTATTAGACGGAATTGTAGTGTAATCTATTATACATTTCAGACTAACACACACACACACACACATATATATATATATATATATATATATATATATATATATATATATATATATATATATATATATATAGATCTCTTTACGGTAAATGTTGATCAGAGGCACTTCACGTGAGCACTTTGTTGATCCGAAAACGCATGTTGATCCGGCGCCTTTTGTTGATCCAGTATGGTAACTGATGTGGCTCCAACCGGATCAACATCTGCACTCATGAGACTGTTTGCTAGCATTTGCCGAAGTTGATCCGATATACAAATCCACCTTGTGATGGTTACGGAAAATGTTGATCCGATTTAAATGAGCCAATCAGAGCACAGCAAACGATAAGATAAACGATCGAATTGGCTGAAAGCAGCCGCGACGTTGCCGTTTCGTATCTTTGGCGGTACAAGCTACAGACTAAATGTGTGTTCAATACAATAATGCATTCAGGGTGCTGTTGGGTCTGCCTCGTTATTGTAATACGCCGGGTATGTTCGCGGATGCGCGTGTGGATTGTTTCTACACCACCATGCGTAAACGATGCACATCCCTGGTGCGCAGGGTGCGGGTCAGTTCCATCTTAATGGTAATCTGAGGGCATTTTCTGACAGGTTTGAGGTCAGTACCTGAACCATTGTCATATGGTGCACGTGCTAACTAATCGGGCTTGTTTTAGATACAGTTTCAAAATTAGGTAAATAGTTTTAAGTTTTACTAACATTAAATTTAAGATTTGTGTTATTACTAACATCTATGATCTTTGTGGTTGAAATAAACGACTTTTTTTTAACGTATAACTCAACAACTCGACAACGCCCCTTCTTGTAGCGGAAGTGGTGGCAACGGTATTCGTCTGAGTGCGTGTTTGTGTGTGTGTGAGTGTGTGCGCGCATATGTGTGCGTGTGCGTGTGTGCGTACACCAGCGCGCACACATACACATACGCGCACACGCTCGCACACACACACCGTACATAGACTCAAACACACGCGCTCGCACGAACTAACACACACATACACGCACACGCACAAGCACATACGCACACACAAATACACACACACACACACACACACACATACACACAAACACAACATTGGACACACGCGCACACACACACGTGAACACACACATACACGCACACACAAAACGCTACACACACTCGCACACATGCATCGGCAAATACACGCACAACCGCACACACACACGAACACAACTGCACACACACGCGCACGCACACAAAAACAACAGTTAAAACACGCATACACACAAACACACTCACACACACAATCACACACAAACACGCGCGTGCACGCACACACACACACACACACACACACACACACACATACACACACACACACAAACACACACACACACACACAAACACAAGCGGATAACCGCACAAACACACGCACACTGCTGCACATACGTACGTACGTACGCTATACGTACTCAAAAAACACAACAGCGCACACACGCACACACATATACTCACACACACGCGCACGCACGTGCGTTCACATGAACACACATGGACGCACATACACCCACACGCGCGCGCACACACAAACTCGCACACCCACGCATAAAAACACACACACACACACACACACACACACACACACACACACACACGCACGCAAACACACGCGTGCGCACTAAATGACACCCCCCACTCTTACAAACACACATACCTCCACTCGAGTGATAAATTAATTTGTAATAAAGTACTATCTATCCATCATCTTCTAATTGATCCATGACAAATGAACAAAATAACACAAATTCACTAACACGATAACAAAAACTCGAACAAACGTCTTTCCACAATAAAACCTGCCAAAGTTTGATCCACAAAATCAGCAGATAACGCATTTTCTTACCTTATTACTATAACAAAATAGCCTACTGGGTTGTCTATCACACACAGAACGCGACGTTGCCGCTTCGTGTTCGAGTACCTATTCGTCAATTATGGCTCCGGATCCACTTAGTCTAAGTAAATGTCGCATATAAATTAAATATACTCTGGATCTAAAAAATCATATTCAGTATGATTTTTTCGACCGTTGATAGATCAACAAATGTTGGTCAAATCGCTGACGAGTATATTGAAAACCTGTTAGTGCAGATCCACCGACGTCACACGCGCATCAAGGATGGATCAAAGTATATCAGTTTGTGCGACGAGGAGCTGAGCAAACACGTCAAATAGGTGGATCAACAATTGTTCTAACTTCTCACTGGATCAACATTTACCGAGAAAAGATGATTAATAAAAGGAATTAATAAAAGAATAATTAATAAAAGAAAAGGATGATATATATATATATATATATATATATATATATATATATATATATATATATATATAATATTATGCCTTTGGCGTCTAGTAAAACATAACACCAATCTTGCAATATCAGTGCCCTTTTATATAGGTTTTTATAAAAATTTAAACTTTTATATTATTGCGCGCCTAAGTTTACGTCATGTACCCGGTACTAGCGCCATCTAGTGTCGGGGACGAGAGCGAGGAGGGCTTCCTAGAAAATGTTACGAACCTCAAGCTCGTAAGAATATATTAAGGTTTTAATGGTAACATACAACATGGTGTTAAGGAAATAGTTATAGAAACTAATCTAGCTACTACAATAAAGTTGATAAGGCTTCTAATATTTCTCATTTTACTTGATTTTACTTGGCTTTAATATTTAGTTGGTTTGTGCTGAACCTTAACATTAAGTTGATGAGCTCAAGTCTAATGAGATCAACGCTCTTTATTCTTCGTGCTCTAATAAAACCCCGAAAATTTCACTAGAATTACTAAATCATTTTCAGTATAATTGTAGAATACTGGACTATATATAATGTATGTATAGTAGATGACATAAATGTTATGGAAACTTACGGAAACTTCCAAGTGTTATAGGTAAATTCTATAAAACCTATCACAGAAGAATCCAGAATCTCCTGTTCACGCTGTTTATCTCATAACTGTTGGAAATGATACTACGATTTCGTATAAAATATTCGGTATACAAGTTTTTTCAGTTATATTGGATTTACATTTCCTTTTGTTCATTTCAAGAATGCATAATGTAAGTTACCAATACCAGGCAAATAGGTATCAAGTTATGTAAGTAAAAAGTCCCGCTCTGTCCCGCTGGACAGAGGTTTTTTGCGAACCAGTGGTAAATGAAAAAATGCATTTTAATAAGTATTATATAATAATCTATGTTGAATAAAATCATTCATTTCATTTCATTTCATAAAAATTGGCCCTAACATTAGTAGCACGCAATCCCTTAATTTTGGCGTTCCCGAAGGTTCCATAACTGGACCTTTTTTATTTTTAGTATATTTTAATAATCTAGATGAATTGAATATTTGACAATAAGGTATCATGGAAACCTCATATAAAACATACAAAATCCAACGCTATAGCTTTAATGTGATTGGTACGATCTTATATGTTTCAATTACTACAGTGTGTTCGATACGTGATTTATAACATACTGGTTAAACCACATTATGACAATAATTAAAGTTTGGGGGTGTACTACAAAAACTATTCTTCATTATCATTATATATACTCCTACAAGAAATGCAACAAAACATGGTCCTGAGCTTCCTGCATCCATCTATTTCCTGAATGCCTTACGAGGTCTGCCACTCGAAAACCTTTTTTCCCCATCGGTTATCGTGCCTTTCTTCGAGATATATGGCTGACCCATGGCCACTTCAACTTACTAGTCCGTTGGGTTTTTCAGTTACGCTGGTTCTCCTGCAGATATTCTCATTTTTAAGTTTATCACGCAGAGAACTATTCTATAACAAAACATTTACTAATGAATAACAAATATTACAAAATAAAATAAAATTTTAACTAAAACTAAATTTACGGATTCTATCGCGTTTAATTAACTACTTTTACTTATTTTTAATTCCCGACGTTGCGGGTGCTTTACAGCACTCATGGTCACGAGGGGACTGAGATGTTTGACGTCCCAATGTCATTGTTAGCCCTGTTAAAAATTTTGCGTAGATCGGATCGAACGCAAAAACTTTGCGTAGATCGTATCGAAAAATTAATATTAAAAAACTGAAGAAAGCCGGGCTAACAATGACATTGGGACGTCAAATATCTCAGTCTCCCCCGTGACCATAGGTGCTGTAAAGCACCCGAAACGTCGGGAATTAAAAATAAGTAAAAGTAGTGAAATAAACGCGATAAAATCCGTAAATTTAGTTTTATTCAATGTGTAGTGTTCGCGTAAATATAAGAAATCATTAAGTAAAAGTAGTTAATTAAACGCGATAGAATCCGTAAATTTAGTTTTATTCAATATTTAGTGTACGCGTAAATTTAAGAAATCAATAATTTTTTAACTATTTAGGAGTTGTCCTCCGAGGACCAAGGTAGAATACCCTTCAGAAGGAAACACAGCGGTACAATTACTCCTATTTGGTGGCAGGAGTAGTTAAAAGTGTGGTATATCTCCAGACGGGTTCTAACGCAGAAGAGGCCTCATACCATCTAGTAGGAGTTAGCAAATGGCTGGTTTTTTATAATGCTTTTAGATAAAAGCTCACTGAGCAATATATCACATCGAAAGAGCATGATCGCTATAAAGTACGAGAAACGCCGTTTTTTTTTTGCAAACTATATGCCAAGAACTTGCACATCAATCTCACGTCAAAAGCTCTAAAAAGTTCGGCAAGTGACAGTTTGTACCAAAACTAATAGAATAGAAATGAAAGCGGCCAGAATAAGGACATACTTACGTTCCAACGAGCCTTTAGTTGGCACAAATCGTCGAGTAACTCGGTCGACTTAGCTCGCTTGCTTTAAAACTGGGATA